TTTCTCTATTATTACAGGATATTATTATAAAAAATTTTACTATCATACGAGTTTCAGACTACTTACAAATGCATCAAAGTCTTTTGTACAACACTTGAATTAATTGGCGCAATTAAAACAACTACTTAACAAAACGCAATCATTTTCTGAACTGTTAAGGGTGTTTAGAAGTAATGTGGGGATGGAGGGAATAGCATGGGTGATGGAGGGTGATGGAGAGGGATAGAGGAGGAAGCAATTAAATAGATAAAACAGCAAGAGAACGAACGAACAACAAGGTATTTTGAGAGGAATGGGTCACGGATAAAGGGGGATGAAGGGGGCTTAGAGGCTAAATCCTGAATCCACTCGAAATAACTATATAATATAGGAATATGTATATAATGAATGTGTTTGCCTTTTAAGCACTTGACATAGGTTCGACTGTTTCTGCTCTTTGGCAGTCAGCTAAGGGGGGTATGTAACATTTGATGTCATATACATTATTATTTATCACTTCAAAATACAGAGTTTCACATTTAACTTATAAAAAGCAAAAGCTCAGCGATTACTAAACGTCTAGCAGAACACCTGCTTCTACAATCACGTGACGTATAATATACTTTTTTGAAACAAACTACCAGCGCCAAACTCAAACTACGCATGCAACCTAAAAGAGTCTTATAAAACGTATATCTTACAATATTAGTTCATACTAACACATTTAAGAATTTAAATAATTCACAATTTCAACATTCTTGACTACGTATGTCCACAAGAAATATCATGCACAGTTTTGACAGCAACCTGTACTTATTGTAAAATTCAAGAGATTAGCAATTTAAAAAATCAATTACTACATCGTTATTGCACCAACAGTATGCCTATGTCAATCGAGAGTTATTAGGTTAAGCTCTAATTGGTCGTTTGGATCCCTAACCTGACGTATCCTCTTTAAATAATAAAGTATAAAAATTCCTTGCACATGCTAATATTTACCTTTTCTCTTTAATTAAATGCTCTGAAGTAACTATAATGGTTGGAAAGTAAGTTCTATTGCATTTTTTAAGTGAATGTAAGTTTTTTTTCGATGGTTAAGCTGAGTGTTTGAAGCGTAAACTTAAAGCAAATGAAACGTTTAGTTTAGTGACTAAGGTGTGAGAGAAAAGCTCAAGCAAACTAGGCTGTTCAGGATTGAAGTGAATTTAGTCCGCGTTTATACATTAAACCTATTCTTAGAAATTCACCTTCACTTGCACATCTTTATTTTTCTGCGAGCAGCCACACTGCAAATGTAAACAAAGACTTTCACCCATGTTACAGACATTTTTATCTTTTCTTAAGTTCTCTTTCTCTTTCTATTATTTTCCAATATTTTTGTTTCACACGAGCCACTGCTCTGCGTAGCAGTACACATATATGCTAACAAATACATATCTGTTCGCGCACTGCTCTGCGAAGCAGCCTAATGAGTCAGTCTGCTTTCGGCGCGTACAGCTAAAGCAACTCACAGTACTCGCTTGCTATATATAAGTAGGCTCGAGACTCGACGCCTTGCATATACAAATTTTTTTTTTTTTTTTTATATTATAGTGCTCTACGTCCGGCTCCTTTATTAAGGGCACTACTATAGGCACTTAGCACTTGGGAAAGGGACAAGAAAAGGGATGNGGGGAATTAGGCAATTTTTGCTGCGAGAAGGTAGCCTAAACCCTCCTCGGGGAGCATTGCGTGGTGAAAAAGCACATGTGAACAATCACAGAGGTACTTGCCCGAAAAAGTCGCACTATGGCCAGGAATTGAACCACGGTCTCCCACGTGCCAATCCATGACCTAGCCGACCGAGCCACCGCGCGCTCGCCTTGCATATACATATAGACCGCGTTTTCCAATCTGTAAAATAGTCTGTAAATAAATAGTTCCAACAGTTTTATTACATCATAGTCTTCCTCCATATTTTTGCTGGTTCTTCGTGTGCTTTCGGGTGCACGAAGAGCATCTATTCACAAACCTTACCCAGATCACTGTAATGAGCTTTTAAAGCTCAGCCACGCCAACCGCAATACAGTCCACTACAGTCAATACCCAAAATTTGGTCCTTCGAGCCGGATTACAGTGACGGGAAAGGATACAGTGTTTAAGTGTTTAGTGAAGTTGTGTCACACTGAGAGACTTACAACCTCTCAGTGTGTTAGTGAATTGCTATAGTTATATTCTCGTGCTAAGAGATTTACGACCTCTTAGTGCATTTGGTCGTAGGAGACTTACAACCTCCTGCGTACTTCTGTAACGAGTTGAGCTCCTCGTTCACCACTCTCACCTCTTGATTCGTCAAGGTGGGCGGCATTTTCACATTTTTCCACACGCTTCACTACGGCAGCATAATGTCCAAGGATCTGAAAACCTTGTTTAAGTGGCAGCAAGAGTTATATTTGAGAATATTCAATGCCGAGACCAACCTCAAGAAGCTCGGAAAAGACCACATCAATAGTTCCAACAGTTTTATTACATCACAGTCTTTCTCCATATTTTTGCTGGTTCTTTGTGTGCTTTCGGGTGCACGGAGAGCATCTATTCACAAACCTTACCCAGATCCCTGTAATGAGATTTTAAAGCTCAGCCACGCCAACCGCAATACAGCCCACTACAGTCAATACCCAGCATAGGCTATTGTAGATTTGCCTTGTAAGTATAACAAAGAGGAACAAAAAAAAAATACCGTTGACTTGGGCTCTAACGTTAAAAGCAGCAGCCTACATATCATCATCGATACGAGTACTCTCGTGTAGAGTTAGAATCATCAATGCGTTTAACCTCGTAAGATCTTACGACTGCGTGCGCACAAGCAGCAGCTAACCAGCGATTATAGAAGTAAGATAAGTTAAGAAAAACTGAACATTATCAAAACAAAGTAAATGTTAATTTGAAACTTTCTTATTTTTATTATTTGTAAGATCAACTATTTCCAGCTTTCCTAAAGTTACTAAATCATCAGGTAATACAGACATTGGTTGTTCATAAAATTTACTTTTTTTATTTGAAAATATTTCAATTACTTATTTGTACAAAATATTTCAAGATCTAAAATTCTTATTGATAAAAACATAATTTTCACATTAATATATAAATTAAATACCAAGAAAATTTTAAATAGACAACGTTTGCTAAAAGATTTTGACAAGGATGTGAGATAAAAAACACCAACAAGATACGCTACTACTGTATTACATAGGATATTAATTGAAACATTAGGTCAACGCCAGCTCGCAAACGACACTCTAACACTACTGCGTACATACCATTCGGTGAATTTTAACACCGTAATGCTGAGTCAATGATTAAAAAAAAATATACTGTAAGTATAAGTGAATAAGGCCTTTGATCCAACAGCTGATTTCTGAACAACAAAACTTAAATTCATTTGTTTGTAGAACTAGTCTATGAGTTTCACCTTTTTCTTATAGAAGTTTGAACATAACAATTTGAATACACATGCTAAGTAAATTTAATTACGTTAATTATTATTAAAAACTTGTAGATAAAACATAATTATTATTTAAGATATGAAATAAATGCGCTTGAATCGCATTAAATAAGGTGGTACAAAAACTGCAGAGAATATTATAAGACAGCAACTGCATTCAAATCAAACGCTGAACCGTACTCAAAGTTATAAGCGATTGCGTCAGCCACTCGCAGTCAATATGGCCAGCTGATAGCAGCCATGCAAATTTGCCATGTTTTTATCCAGAAAAATAACCAAATAAATGCACACTTCTGTTCTTATCATTAGTAGTTCAAAAAACGATTCGTTAATAAAGTCTTCCGTAAAATTTTTAGTATTTTTACGTAACTTTTTATTCTGCAACTCCCTATCATTAGGATCGAAGTTGATAAAATAAAGAGACGATAAAATTTTTCAAAATCGTATACATGCATTCCTAGAACTATTTTTAATCCACTGCTCCAATCTTAGACGTGTCAGCGGTGCCAAAACAAAAATAAAGGACATGAAAGCTACACTGCTTAACACGGCGAGCATATTAAAAATGCGTAAAAAAAAACTTTTTTTTCGTTTAGAAAATAATCATACAGTTACTTTATTTTAATTTGAAGATTTATTTTGTATGTCCATAGAAATATCTTATTAAAAAATTGGAACAACTACCTGTGCCGTTTAAAAGATATTTTAATTTTGATACAATTTTTTTACATTTTTAGGATATCTGTATATTGGCTAAAAATAAATACAGTTTTAAGTTTTTTATAGTTTTATGCTATCATTGTGCTTGAATTTACAGGTTATGTTTCTAATATTATTGTCAAATACATTTTAATTACAAACATTTAATTTTAATCATTGCTATTGTATAATCAATTAATATCGATGGGTTTTGGGTCAGAGGGTATCTCTAACTCTTGGCAATGCAAGCGATTGGTTTACGGTTTCAACTCAAAAAATCATGGTTCAATGTTTGACATATTAGTAACTGCAAGTATACTTTAAGACCTCTAAACAGCCACAGCAGATAATTCTTCGTTGAATTCCTCAATCACGTTGCTTAAAAAAGTTGTATGCATCACCCTTGCAGAAGGCATGAGACTGACTCATGCCTATCAGTTTGCACACTTGCTGGCATTTGTAAGGTAACTGATACGCTTACGCGACTGCATACCTTTTGCCAGTATTATAAGTACTATATCTTATTTGGGTATTCAAGAAGAATGATTACTTAGTAAGTAAAAAGTGTGAGGTATACCTGACATACTATACATTTTTCTAAACCAATGTCTGCTGTCTATGCTGGCACAAATAAAAAAAAAAAAAGATTTAAAAATGGAGCATTGAGCATACAAATATAAGACTCGATTGATTACGGCATATTTAACTAGATACATACAAATTCATTTACTTTACACAGATACTCCTTAAAAGTTGAAATAATAGATTGTATAATTCTTATGAAAAGAGTATAAATATCTTATTGATTTATAATGAAATTAATGTCATTTTATATTGATTTAAAATACTATAAGTATTTGTAAGTATTTTTATTTATGAGAAAGGATATATACTACAAAATAGGCAATTGTGAGAACAAATTATGAAAGTCGTTACACACTCTTTTCTGACAAATTACTATTACTTCTAATACTACTTCTACTATCCCGTCGTTGCAAGCTTGTAACTGCTCTGTGATTTTGATTGATGCTGGAAGGCTCATGCCTGTCACTTCCAACCCTTTTAAAACTTGAATCACGAGTAACATTATTTTTGATCAGTTCTTTTGTAGTTGTAGCGCCTCGAATATTTGTATATACTACATAAACAGCAAAAAATCCGATGGTGAACATAGAAACACCAAGGCCAGTTACTGTAGCTACCTGAAACACATAATTAATATGTTGTGATGAGCAGTGTAAGTTTCATAGTGATTGCATTGAAAAAAAAACTTAACAATCAATTTTAAGTAATACCAGTAAAAATTAAGCAAAAGAGATAAAATTTGTCTTGAAGCCTGTGTTTTTTAAAATGAGAGTACTCATTAGATACTTGTTTCATCATAGGAGTCATCACAGATTTCACCTTCGAAAATACAGCTATTTTGTCTTAAAATCTCTTAAATCGTAGAGGCAGACAGAGTGAGATACGTTAAGGTTGTTATGTGTATTATTGGTTGAACCTGTAACGTGCTAAGTGTATTAAAAGTATCAAGTTCTAATTATTTGACTATTACTTGACAAGGCATCAAAAAAAAAAGATACTAAAAAATTCTTCAATATTTTAAAAGACCATTAAGTTCTGACTATATTTGCAAAAACTATATACGTTGTTTAGTTTACTCAAAAAAGGCATACTTTTAAAAGTTACAAACTTCCTTCTTTCAATTAACTAAAGCTGAATTTCAATTTTTTAACGTAAAAACTTTTGCAATAATTTATTATTTCCCTATTTCTAAAAAACATGCATATGGTTTTTTTTACTATAAAATGCCACAGAAAAAAATTCAAGATACAACTTCTCATTTATTAATAAATTATTGAATTATGGGCCTCTAAGGATATTGTTCACGAGGGAAGGGGTTTTTATGCTGCTCCCAATCAAGTTCAGTCGTGTGGATGGAAGTGGTTTACGGTGGAAAATAAATGTAACGCAAATGTGCAATAAAAATCTATACAATATATTTACAGTGCTTAAAATTATAAAAATGTGCTCAAGTGAAGCCAAGCGGAGCGAAGCTTTCTCTGCTGCCACGGCGAGCTAACTAATTTACTATGCTTGCAGAGCAATATTTATAGAGACAAAAGTTAAAGTAAAAACTTCTAGTACATTGATAAATAAAGGTACAAGAGTAAAGGTAAAACGGTCTCTTGGGCATTGCAAATGTACGCGATGATGAAGGCGTATGATCGGAAAATTACTTCAACTTTAATGTAAGGATAACAAACGTGACGCAATTTAAATTTAAAAAAGGTTTGTTCGCAAATATTCAGGTACAAAACTGAACAGATGTATATATATTTTTTTAAATATAAATATCTTCTGTCGAATATTTTATCTATTAATTTGCTGTTTTCCTACGAAATACGTAAAAAACTTTGGGAACATGTGTATTTCTTATGGGCAGGCTATTTTTCTACGCATTTTGTATACGAAAAAAAAAAACTATCAAGTATAAGACAACTTAGTGATAAGACAAACGATTGTTTTAAGATTATTTTTACTTTGTAGATAATACCTAGTAAGGGCTCAATGTTTTAAAAGTAGTTTTGGAAAAATTATTAGAAGTTTGGCTTGAAAAGCTTAAAAATTTAGGCTTACAGAAGACGGACTTTTAAGCAATTGGTTTTGGAACTTTTTCAGTTTATAATACAATTTAGAATTTTATAGTTATTTAATCACGTAAACACACAATATTATAAGTTCAAAAAATGGTTTATCCCAAATTCTTGCCAGACTTCTGTTGGTTGTAGTTTAAAAATTTGTATTATTTAAGAAAGTAATTTTTGTAGTAAGTATAAGCATAATTTATTTCACTGCGCAAGACTATTAGAACTTGAGATTTAACTAGAATATAATAATACTAATTTACTCTACTGTACACTTTTAAAGCTTAAAAAGTTTACTAAATATGGTTGTTAATATACTCCCGTAATGAATGACTTGTTCGAAGTTGGATTAAATAAGTCGATTGTATTATTATCAAGATATATGGTATAGCCTAGATATACAAATTTTCATAAGGAGAGTAGATTTTCTGACAGGAATCCAGAGTTAATCAGGTTATTCAATATCAGGTCATTATTATTATTTTTACTAACGATCATGCCTTCTCTTTTCGTTATCAAGTCTACCAAAGGGTTGCTATTTGTACACTTAATTTTGTCTCTCTTATAATGATTTAAACTTTTGAATACGAACCAAGAATTAAATGAGCAATCAGTCACATCTGAGTCACAATAAATTTGATGAGATTGTAGTAATCAGTCCTTAGATAATTTACAGAACGTGAAAAAAGTAAAGAGGTAGCATCGTTTTGCAGAAAAACAGTCTTACCTTTCTCATCAAAGTCAGAGTCTTTGTTTTTCTCGTCAATTAAGTTTCCACCTTATATTTTGGTCTTATTTTTATTTTTTTAATTTTTTTTTATCGTCTCTTTTATGTCTTTTATATTGATTGTTTTGCTTATTGCCATGTTTGTTAGTCCCTGTTTTATTTGTAAGGCTCTTTGATCCATGACTATCTTTATTTTTTTGTCTTGTAAAATTCTAATTTCTATTTTTTTCTTACTTAATAAGGCACCCCTACGGTCTTTTCTTTTGGTCCATGGTATTGCGTTAAAGTCTATCGTAGTTAAAACATCTTCAGTTACCTGCCTTAATCAGATAGTTATAGGAGTGAGGACCAGTATTATCACACCTATAATATCGGATGTTACCGTGGGCTGAGCTGATCTGATGTGCTCGCAGCGCTGCTGCAAGGTCAGTTTCTCCAACATTTCCAGATTGCTGTCATCTTGATTAAGTCTTAAAAAAGAAAGATTATGACAGGTAATATATTATTCTTTGTTTCGGAGGATCTGCAATCACGGCGTCAAGGATTTTAATTTGCGGTACGTTATTAAAGACTGCATTGTACAATGTATTGCGTATCTCTTCCTCCAACAGCGATTTTTTTCCTTGTAAATTTTTTTAGCTTCTCAGAAGTTCTTTTAACTTATCAATGAAGTCCATCACCATCGTTTTATTTAGGAAATACCAAAAATTATTTAGTTTTCGCTTGATTTTATTTAATGAAAAACTTTTTTATTTCTTATCATTTTCCTCGATTTATTTAGCTGTTCTTTAGTGTTTGAAAAAAGAGCTGTCTGCAAATGATAAGAATCATCAATTTGATTTATTATTTATTATATGTTGTACTATTTCTTTATGATCATCTAACTTTTTAGCAGATAAAAGTAGGGAACACTCGATGGTATCATCTCACACGTATAACAGTCTTTCGATTTTCAGTTTTGAAAAGAGTTTACGAAGGAACCATTTCATCTTGGTTTTAAAAGTTAACTTATAGTTTTAACGGGAAAATAAATTTTCATTTAGTAGTTACAGTTAAAACCACTTCCTTCGATAAAGGTCAGCCGTATTGTCATGCAGGATAGAGTCAAATTCCTTCCCACAAGGGATCTCGTTTCAATAGAAAAAAAGCAGTAGAATGAAAAGCATCTGCTGTAGAATTTTATTTTCCCACCTCTTGTGTAGTTATAAATGGACCCAGTCTTTTGGATGGGGTATAGATGTTCAATACTGCTTACTGCAAACTCCTTATTCAATTCCAGTTTTTGGTTAAAGTCTGCAGCGTCCTTAGATTTTCTGTCCTCTGCCTCTCCTTCTGCCAAGATATATGGTATCGATGGCTCATCTACTCCTGTTTAGCTGGACTGTTTTTAGCTAAAGATTCATTCTTATTAGTTGTCCGTCTTCAGTTATTATTATTAACAGGCAGTTAAGTAACAAGCTGTCATTCCCTGTCAAATTTAAAAGCAACCTTTTCATCTCTCACAATCTTTAGCTTTCTTGGTATAACTGTGTTATCCGGTTTAATCTTGGGAAACTTTTTGTGTTTTTAAGCTTTTTGTATTTTTGCAGACAGAAATATTACACCACCAGAATATTTCATCGCACGCGATTTTTTATCAATTTCTAATAGTATAATATCACTCTTTGAGAAAGCTGTGATCAGTTAATAATATTACTAATTCATTATCTATTTATACGAATAAGTGACTCATGAGATCTCCTCCGCAAATATCCGCACCAAGTTAAGAACGTCACATTTACACATTGATCAGATCCTCATTTAAAAATAGAATGGTCGTTACTTGTGTATCTCTGTCTGCTTCCACGAAAAAAAAAAAATCATACACGCATGTGCAAACATCGAAGCACAATTGTCTACGAACACTATATATGTGCCAAATATGTATGAAAATAATAGCTGGGTCGAATCATCCTGGTGCCCACATAGAACATAGGTCACACACTTGCGTCTACATCTCGACTTCGACCTCAATGTCAGAGGGCATACCCTTTTTAGCCTTATTTGTGGTTTGAAACAACAGAAACTAAAGAAAAAACACTTCCTTCCCAGTTGACACAATTAGAAGAGAGAGGAAAATAGATAGAGAGAGAGAGAGAGAGACTGGAAACACAAAGTCCCTGGCACAAGGAGCCTTGTCACAAAAAAAGCCCTGTGCAGTGGAAGCATGCTGAGTCTATAAACTATAAGCCTAACAAATTCTACTGCACAATACTCTTAGAACTCAAAATATTGCCAGGACATAAAATAATTAACATACTGTACGTTTTCTAAAGAACGGAACAAAGTGTTTATTCTACTTAGTCGTGCTGCCGTTTAGCAAAAGGCTCACCGTCATAGAAAAAATGTCGAATAAAAACGTTGACTGGCTCATAGCTCATATTTAACTAACAGGAGAATGCACAGCGTCGAACATGCACTAACATACTACATATACGCATGTGCAGGTGGTGATCTATATAAGCTCTAATTTCAACAGTAATAAAAAAGTGGAGTAATTTTCACAAACACTATTAAAATCCAAGGACAAAAATATATTTTTCATCCTTAGAACTTTTTTGCTAACGTCTTTCTTAGAACTATTAAGTTGATTGCAACTATGTACTATAAATCAGCCAAGTGCTATAAAAGTATGGTCCATAGTGTCCATAACAACCTTAGTTATCGTCAGCAAAAATAAGTTCATGATTTTTGAACTTAATTAGTGAGTAAATTTATAGGCATTACACTTTTAATTTATATGTTATTTACACAGAATAATAATTACTTATTTGATGATGTGTTGAAA